AACACGGTTAATAATAAGAATAATATTAACGTACCAGTACTACTAATAACAGATGTAATTACTTAATTTTATATTAGAAGTAGGGTCAATACCATAGCCATAGTGACAAATTCAACCGGCAACGTACAGGTTCACGTAAGCATTCCGTTGTATTAGAACAGAAAAAAAGGCCTTGTAGCATAATATGTTATAGCACCAGATTTCCGCAGTCGCTGTTACTTTTTTTCCTGGCATGACATAAATATCATTCCTATCTTCGCTTCTTTTTGATCTTGAATACAAGATTTCGGGAACAACGACGCTACAAGCCCGCTGGCCTGCAGGTGACCCTCCAAAGCAGTTACAGTAACAGGCAGTTCAAAATTTCTAATGCATGCATCTACTAATGAAACTCCTGTAAATCTCTATCCAATGGATAATGCATTTCGTTCTTGTCGATCGGCTATCGCCTAATCGCCTGGTTTCGCCAAGCCACCAACAGAGGTTCAAGCTAACAAGCTTTCGCATCAGCTGGGCACATTTTACTGTCGACTTTACCGGGCAAGATAACTGGACCCCACCCCGAATGGTCCGCCGATGATGGAAGAATTTAGTGCTTCCAATACCACCTCTAACTACGAATGATTGAGGTCTTCTCGATTGGGTTTGAAATGCAGTTTCAGAAAGTGAAATACCATCTGTGTTCTTTTCAACGGGCTTCCCACTTTTATTTTGAATTTTTCTGTGCCTGTTTTATGCATCATTCGCATCTCATGCGATGGAGCGAGAAAAACGAAATGTATGTACGAAAGGCTGAATTCAATAAACGTCTTCTGAAAAGTTAGAAATAACGTGACGCTGATGTTCTTTGAGCAATTCGAACCAGAACTCGTTCACAGAGACAGAAACAGCTAATCAAATCCATATCAGCTTTTGGTGATAAACTTGTCTCAAGGATTAGTCAAATCCATGCCATAAACTGCTGTTTTCTGCAATTCTTATCCATCTTGATCCAAACTATTTCATCTGCTACTGCCGTCAGTTTGAAAGACTTCCTACAAGTCACTTATTATCCTTTGGAGCTAAGCATGTGTTTGTGGTCAAACAACGATAAATTCTTCTTGCAACATGCCCTGTCCATTGTCATCTCAACGCGTGCAGTGGCATCGCAGATTCCTGCTCATGTTCTTAACCATTCGTTCGTATTATTTTTTAACTGTCATTCCAAACATACATCTTTCAATGTTGCGCTGAGCAGTTTGTACCTAATGAATAGCTGAAGCTTAGGGTACAGTTTTTGCACCATTAAGTCAGCACTGCGAACACACACCGATCGAAAACTTCGTTTCAACAACAGGGGCATTTTGCCGCATAGAAACGTTTCTAAACAGAAAAAAATGTACCCAAGCCATTTTTACTATCCTATTAATTTCACATAGTCGGAACTCCGTTGAAGGGAAGACCTGCGCCTGACTGACACAGTTTTACACTTCGTCAATTGACTTAAACATATCGCGCTGTCGCATTTGTTTTGAGTGTTCTTCAGGTTCATTTTCATTTTAACTTTTATGCTGGCGTCATTAAGCTTTTGAATTGTCCCGGTGAACTGGACAAGATCAGAATACCATCTGCAAACCGCAGGTGGCTAAAGTAGTATCCATTTACGTTCAACTCCCGATTTTTTCAAAGAAGCATATTGAAAATCTCTTCTAAGGCAACTGTGAATATGATCGCTGATCAGCCCTGCTGAACGCCCTCTTCAACCTGAACGTGTGTATTTTTCGCTTGCATAGTGAAGACCGAAAATACTGGCATAATCATGTCGTTATTACTCCCAACGAAGGGCGACAATGACGACTTTGCGGGAGTATCACGGAAGAATCAGTTCCACTTCGAAAACAGATCATCTGCCTTATTTCTTCATCCATGTTGAATGCTAGCCTCCTTGGAGGACAACTATTGTTTGCAGTTCGGTTCGTACGTAGAGAACGGTCAACGACCAGAGTATGAAATGGGAGAAGTCTGTCGATGGTACGTGATAAAAGGTCGGCTTTGAACTAAGGAGGTACCAGGTTAAAATGTCAAAAGAAAAAATTTTTCTTACTCGCTAATAGCAAGGAATTCACTCCATGTTGCCGAGAAGCCGATCACAGTTAGAACAGTTACAGACAGTACGAGGAGAACAATGTTATGGCGTAGTCAAATACTGTCGAAGCCTGATGTGGGCACTTCTGAGAGCTAGAATTTGTCCTGAGCCAACTATTCAGTGTGACAAAGTGAGCACAAGGGGTAAACAGTGTTGTTCAAAGTGCACTGGAGAAGGTTTATCCATACAAGCAAGTCATTTCTGAAGACTGTCCGCTAAACGATCGAACAATCGGATGAACGTAATCAGCTGCTGTTCGATGCAAAAACTCTACTTATGCGAAGGTGTTCAGCTTACTTTGGATCTGAAACCTTAGAAGGGAAGTAGGGGGAACAGCAGGCCATCGTCAGAAAACATTCTGACCAGGCCGTGGGATCTAGGCGCAAAAGGTCCGATCAAATTTAAGATTAAGGAGCAAACTTAAAACTTCCTTTTTTCCTAACTCGCTTCGACACTGAACAAAATCATAGGTTCGATCGGCATATGTTCATACTTGTTGCAGTTCGTAGATCGTACTAACAATAGACTGACCTGTTCATCAAAAAAAGAAATACTTGTACGAGGACAACAAACGCTAATCGATGTTTCGGCTTTCACCTCTGAGAACTGACCCTACACCTCAAATTTTGGGATCAACTGCAACAGATCGACAGTAAACTTCACGCTCATCTTGAAGGTCTGAGACTCTCTGACGAAATGATGGCCCAGTTAAGTTATCAAAAAAAAAATCATCCGTTAGATCTGCAAACATTCTTTCTTTGTTTATATCTCATTGCCAATAAACAATTAGAACCATTAACTACAAAATATATGCATAACACAATAGTGTACAATACTGGAAGAGTCGCAGAAACACCGAAGATATGGATTCCAGAAGCAAGTACTCGGGCAAATGAAATGGCAGCATAAAAAGCACAAAACTTCAAAATACCAAAGCGTTGATTAGAGATGCATGGTAGAAACAATACATGACTCATGCAAACAAATAAGGAAGAAACTATTTACTATTAAGGAATTGTGTTGGAGCCTCTGAAGCAGCTAACTTATCGATCAGACAACGTATGACGTATGGTAGGTCACGAAAAGTTTTAGTGGGTTGTTTCACAGTGGATACTTATGTTCCAGCTGAATCATAACGAAATGATGCAATTGTTTTGTCTCCGTGTCTCTCATGTGCAAAATTGGTAGGTTTCTTTGTAAGCATGACTTCCTGAATATTATTTATCTCAGAGCAACTCAGTACTTCAGCATAATCGCATAGTATTGGGGCTTTCTGATATCAGACGTGAGATGTTAAGAACAGCAGAATGACCCTTAAGCTACATTACAGTTTTGCAAAATAACTCTAGATGACCAATGGCAAAAAAAGTGTAAGCATGAAAGTAAACAGTTGTGCTGAATGAACGCACTTAGTCGTTGGTTGCCCAATTCAGTTTAACGAAGTTTCAGTTCAAAGTAGTAGGTGTTCTTCAAAAGAAGTTTCAACTGGATTTAGAAGCTGTGTTTTTATATTAAAGCTTGGAAATATTAAGTATTCAAGAATATCTTTTAGTTTATTATATAAACAATTCAATTTCGGATTCAGGATATGAGCAACCACTGTTGAATTGGTAAAAAAATCAGAGGCGATCGTTAATCTCAAGGTGGACAAGGCGTTTCGTTAATGCATCTTGGTGTAGTTGCTCCCTGTTTGTTGATGAGCTTCAGTATATTACTGAGTTTTAATATTTGGTCGGAAGCGTGTTTAGCTGTGTTAACTTACCGTAGCGTTATTAGCGAGCAGGGAACTCAGAGATGCGCACATTCAGCGCCAAATTTTTGTTGCGTGACATTGTGAGCTGATCGCATAAGTTTCTCTCTGGCTTTTCCTCATGTTCCTTGTTTATTCTGCTGTGACATCATCTTAAATTCTTCCTTCTTCAGTCCTTTTCCGTATGATAATTCTGCTTAGTTCTATTACATAACGTGGTTATTTTGTACACTGTTTGTTCAGCGTTTCTAATCCGCTCTGCTAACGTTAGTTCGTATATCGTTCCAGTTCTTTTCCGATTTTGCAAATGTAGTTTTTACTGCCAATGCAGCTGATACGGTGTTCATGCCCATCTTTGTCTTGCTTAGGTATAATTCTTTAATTGTAACGAGGACTATTTGGCTCATCTAAATGTATGCATATCATTTACTCGTCGCATCCGGCATAAATTGCGTGATTCTTTTATTTAAGTTCTATGGACAAAAATATTTCTGAATTTTTTTGGTTTTTGTATCAATCGTTCAGTTCCATCATACGTTATATTGATTGGCCGAAGGCATGATGTAAATTAGCAAAAATCTATAGTATAATGCCATAAGTTTCACTGTTGCCTAATGATCAACTGCGCGAAGTTTATTTTGAAGTGCAATGAATGAAACGGCTGAAGATGTGTTCGCTCCGTTTTTCGGATGCTATTTACTTCTCAGCGATTCACAAAATCCAAAATTTAAAAATCGAACATATGTCGGCTTTACGGTAAATCCTAGTCGACGATTAAAGCAGCACAATCGTGGAATAGTGGCTGGCGGAGCTTGGCGAACTAATGACAAAGGTCCTTGGTAAGTCGGTTTTGGCTTTTGTTTTTTTAAGCAGATTCAGTGTTTGTGTTTTCTCTAGTTGAGTAGTAGAAGAAGAGGCATTGTTTATGAAATACGCCGAAAAATGTTGAGTTTTCATTTGGAATGATAAATCGCTAGTTTTCTGGTTGTATCGCCACTTTCTTTAAGGTACGTCAATAATTTATTTATGCTAGGTATACGTCTTTTGGTGAATACGCATTTTAAATAGCTGATCTTTTTTGTGTTTTATCAGCATCATCGTCGCAGAAACAAAGTACTTGCTTTCAAAATGTCGCAACTAAACGGGTAATATGCTGCTTGACATTGACAATTGTTTGTACATAGCATCCTCATTTTGGATTAGTTTTCTGTGTGCATTTTTAATAACATTTTATGATATTAAACAATAATCTTTTATGAGAAAACGCTTCTGCTGAAAGAAACTGTTGTTGCACAGGCTAAAGAAGCTGAACTTCATACCCGTACCCGCTTAGCAAAAATGACTGAAGGATCAAAAATGCCTAGTGACTGTACATTCCCTTATTAGTCGAAGTGGGGAAAAGTTTCGAAAGTGGTTTAGAGGTTAGGATATTGGCTGCTTCTGTCCAGTGCTTGTAATCTTATTATTCTCGAAATAAATTATGTTAAATTGAACTAAATGCGATTTAGTACTCTGTGACCGTTTCTTGAATAGCTAATAATCTCTTAGCGTGCGTTATTTTGCTTGTTTTTCTTTATATACTATGTTTTTTGTTTTG